CAAATCCCATTCTTTTACTTCTTTAGGAACGGGGTTTCAACTTTTAGTTCACTCAAAATCTCTAGCTATGGTAGAAACACTGAAAACCCTTTCACATATATGGCCAGTTTATCAGTTATGGGCTGAATCAAAATATAAAGCCTCTCACGTCCACGGTAAAATCAATGTACTCTTCATTTCATCTTTTTAATTTTTGTAATCATATTTTTACACAAAAAGAAACAATAATCTAAAATTAACACGTTTTTTTGATTGGAGTAACATGATTCCAGTTTCAAAAAAGGAGCATGTATGCACTTCAAGTATACATAGATGATTGTAGCCTCATATCCAAGATCCATATTGACCACCATATAAGTTAAGTTGACTTTTGAATTTTCAATCTCCATTCTTTCTAAACAATTATTTATTTATTTTTTAATATTTCATTTTAGGTTGTACAAATAAAGATATGTTATTCCCCTACAAATAAAGACTGGTTATTCCCCTGTAGACGTGAATGCTGCTTTGTCATCTTCAGACCCTTCAATTGTTAATGGCGTGAAGGACACAATGTAACAGTTTTAAGTTTTTTAGTCAACCTTGAGGTGAATTCATAATCTATTTTTTATGAGCGAGAGAAGGAACAATGATTACCTTTATAGAAGTTAACTTTTAGTGTTTTGAAGTTGGAATTACTAATAACCATGTAACAGAGGGGTCAGTTTGTACCTTTAGTCAACACATGAATGATGCATAGGATAATAATAGTGTATCTCTGGCTTTAATTGTAAATGCTCATGTACAATAAGTATTTGTTGTGATCGTAAGTTGTGTATCCTACTTGGTGCCACTGATATTGGTTTTAAGTTTTATCGTTCTATTTGTTATCTTCTTTGAAACCTGCCAACTGTTTGTCTGAACACAGAATGCTGATACCCTGAAGGGTGCACCGAGTGTTGTAAAAATGTCTCGCAGTGGAGACATGCGGCTTTGCCAGGCAAAATGTCAAAGACTTTACCCTATATAAGGCTCTTTCGGAACTGCTTTCTTGCTTTGAAATCCTATCCGGTTGGTAATAACAAAAATGATATGCTTTTACCATGGTGGTGGCCATCTGTTTGGGAATCTGAAATATTATTTTTATTTGCGTTTGATCTGGTAAATTACTTAGCTTTATCCCTTAATTGTTAAATTAATTCATGTATTCATAAACCAAATAAGTTTAAATATACAGATATGAATTTGTGAGATGCAATTTATGTTTAGATAAACCAAATAAGAGTTGTTGATAAAACTATTAAAAAACTTAAGCAGCTAACTTAATTGACTTAATAATTACAAACTATTTTTTTATATAAAATTACAAAACGTAAAATTTTATATACTTGAAAAAAGTATTTTAAATATTATTTTTTTGTCAAACAAAATCTTGAATTTTTTTGAATGGCAACAATATGAATCTGAATGAATGATAGATATATAGCAATCTACCTATTCTAATAAACAAAATCTAAAAATGTCAGATCTCTTTTTAGTACGCCTCTTTAACATATGGAGTTTTTTTTATTTCTAATTTTTTTTAACAAATCAACTTCAATACAAAATTTCAAAATAAATATTACTTTTTTTTGTCTATATAAAATTTTTAACTGCACCTCCCGTGGTTTCCACGGGTTATAACCTAGTACACGATATATACAAATACACATATAACCTTATACACATATATTTTTGATTGCATACAAATATACATATACATCCATTATACATATAACATTATACACACATATATTCTTGATTGCATACATCTACACATATAAAATATATACAAATGCACATATGTATACAATATAACACATAAATTATAGATTGCATACCAAAAACTACACATACAATGAACACATAATCATATAAAATAAACTCATAAACATATGCATATACAGTACACATTTCATCAATGCAAAAACCCAATTAGACATATAAACATGCATATACAAATTAAACACAATCCCTAACCTGAAATCAAAATACTATGGTGGTGTATCGTCGGAAAAGCTGCTGCAGTGGCGGTGGTGTTGCCGGAAAAAACCCAAAATGGCGGTGTTGCCTGAAAACACAAAAAATTGAAATTAGTCTTGGTTCTTTTCGTGACAACAGAATAAGAAAGATAATGGTGGATAATCAACTGAAATCGGCGGTTTAGTGGTTAATTAATCGTCGGAAACGTTGGAGATCGCCGGAAAATCCCCAAAATCGCCGGAAAAACACCCCACAGTCCCACTGCAGTTCCTGTCCGTAGGAGAAAAGAATCGGCGGTGAGGAGCCTGAAGACACTCGTAATCGCCAGAATATAATCGTAATCGCCAGAAAAGGTAAGTGGTGTCGTCCAAAGTGAGAAACAGTCGCGACTGGATGGTTTTATCGACGGGGATTTAGCGGCGACAATTTGTGGTGAGTGGAGGAAATAATTCGCGGCCAATTTTTTGGGGCATTAGCGGCGATATTTGTCGCTGGTATTAGAGTCGTCGCTATTGGTATGGTACGATGCTCAACTACTGTTGTTGGATCGAATGCCAGATCGACGGCTGGGATGCAACTGGGAGGGACGACACGGATCATGGTTTAGTAGTATTACGGGCGATATCTGTTCGACTACTTCAATCATTCCATTCATTTGAGATTCCAATCCATAATCACTACTAGAAAACTGGTGCAATAGCTAGAGTACAATCCGTAGCTATAAGCGGATAGTTACGGAATTGCTACGGAAAAATGTATGTAGCATAATGGCCCGTGGCTAAATTATAGCTACGGATTAGCTACGGAATAGCTACGGAATTTTCCATAGCTACGATAGCTACGGAAATAAATAGGTATGGCTTTCCTACAGAATAGCTACGAAATTTATTAGCTACAGAATAACTACAGAACTAAATAGCTACGGAATAGCTACGAAAGTGGATAGTTACGGAATAGCTACGGATTTTCTGTAGGTAATCCGTCGCTAATTACTTTTTATTTTTTTAAAAAAAAACTGTAAAAAATTATTAAAAATCCAGTTTTTTCTGTCCAAAATATTGAAAAAACCCATTACATTAAACTTACAATAATATTGAAATTCAACTACAAAACAAATAACATTATAATAAAACTAATAAACCTAAAAAAGTATCAAATACAAATACATATTACTAATGAACATTGTCTAATAATACACATTAAAAGTGTCAACTACAAATGTTTAAATAAGTGCTTACAAAATAATATTGCGAATTATTTGATGGATTACTTGGCAAATTATCGGATAAGTTGAATCGATAAAGACTGACAAGTGCTCTTCAATTTGAGTTTTGAATCAAAGGCCACCAATTGTTCCTGTTTTAGCACACCATAATCAATGATCACAAAAAAATATACAAATATAGCAATGTACTTTCATTTTTTTTGTTTATTATAGCCATAATTGCGAAATTTTTTGAAAGTACAACACTATAAGTAAGATAAAATGAAAGTAGGATGTTATAATAAGCTTGTATATTTTTCATTTAACTAGCTCAAAAATAAAAACACATTTCCTTCCAAGACTACAAAACATACATGATGCCTTTTGAACTTGTATTTTCTTGAAAATCAAAAGCATTTGTAAAGAGGAAGTTCGATCCATATTACGCCTTGCACACCATATTACGCCCCTGCGCGCACACACAGGAAGGAAAAAAAAACTCTTAAACTTTTTGTTTCTTTCCAAGCACTTTTAAATCCTAAAGATATAGACAAAAGATTCTTTGAAGCAAACATTTTTACATTTTTTATTGCATTAAACAGCTTGCAAAGGGTAAAATCCATCATGAATAAGAAAATTTAAACTCTTAAGCCTTTGGAAATTACCTAATGTTGTTTATATCCCCTAAACAAAGTGACCAAATGTTGTTTATATCCTCCTAATAACTTTTAAATCCTAAAAAAAGTTGTTTCTATACATTCTCTAAATCCTAAAACATATTGTTCGTATTAAATTTTCATTATTACAACAAATAGATTCATTTTTTTCATGGCCAAACCTGTTTTTAAGAACCATTGCTTAGGTTGTCAAACCCCTTTGAAATTAATCATCTTATAACCATTTTGACAATCTACTTTCAACAAAGTTTCTAAAGCACATGATATAAAATTGATTTTTAGGGGAATATAGCAAACAGTTATGGATTCCGAGTTATGGAATTCAATAGAATCAAAATGAAAGTAACAAGGTTTTACCTTTCATATAAACCTAAACATAAAATAAATATTTAAACACTTCAATTTCAAATATTCAAAGAAATTAGGGTTTTACCTTTACAAATCAACTTAGGAAGAAGAGGATGAAGAATTAGAGTGGGTGGTCCACTGACAACGACTGTTGATGATCTGTCCACTGGAGGCAGCGTCGGTGACTGTTCTTCGGAGATGGAGGCAACAAATCGACCGGAAAATGGAGAGTTATGTTTCTTTTAGTTTTTTAGCCCTATATAAGAAGCTCTAAGTTGTAGCAGAAAAATCATCTTTTGAATAATGAATTTACCATAGCTTGTGAAGCTGTTTTTGAGTGTTCATACACTAAAGGGGTCAATTCTTGTTTGTTATTAGTGTGGTGCTATTGCTTTATCACTATTAACATCAATCATTGCCAATTTGGTTGACCTTGGTGGTGTTTAACTACTTTATCCTTGATCTAATTAGGTTGTCTACCCCTTTTCACAACCCTCTCCTTTTATCCTATTTTCACCCACCTACGCATCATATGTTATCTTCTTAAAAAATAAAATCGGTTTCTCATCAGCTATAAGATATTTTTAAAATTTTCATACAAAGATTCAATGATATCTCTATTCTTACTTCACAAAATATACCTTGTATAGTTCAAAATATACCTAGTATTGAAAAATATAGAAACAAACTACACCTCGGATGCATCACAACAGTAAATCATATAGGAAAATAGTTGTTCGATCTAAAAGTAAGAAAAAACAGGAAAATAGTCATTCCATGGGGTCTTGAACCTCCCTTTTGGACACCACAGCACTTTCAGCCCATCTCAAGACCGGTGGAAGTGCATCCGGCTCTTCCATTTGAAGAACATCATAAACCGAGTCACCACAGTATTTTATGAATGACATCATATCTGACAATTCTATGGAGGTGACTGCACAGAATTTTGATTCAACACAAAACGTTTGCTCAATTTCAATTGCCTTATCAACAACACTTCTGATAGCCCTACGACCAGGTTTTTGCATTGTTATAGTGTACATGTGGAAAGCAAATTGAAATTGTAGCTTCAGTTCCTTGCTGATCAAATCAGCAAGTACTGAAAAACATTTATGGCCACTGGTCATGTTCATCTTATACCACAGGGCTGCAACTCTCAATTGTGGCTCCAAAAATACCCTTAGTGCATGTGTAACCGATAATCCTCCACGCAGGGGTTGAAAAGAGAGTCGACCAGGTGGTTTTGGCTCCGGTGGACGCAAATTGCTCAACTTTATTGAATAGCACCCGCCTTTGGACCTGCTGTACAGTGTCATGAAGTATTCGAGCATAAAATTCATGATGGTTTTTATCCACCATCATCTGATACCCAAGGCAATAGATTGCTTCCAAATCCTTGAAATCTTTCATGAGATCAACAGAAATTGATCTGAAATGCACACAGTCAATTGCTCCAGATATAAGGCAAACTCTGAAAAAGTTTCGATGTTCATTTGTTGCGGAAGTAAAATCCGATGCTACATCACCAATGTCGATTTGATCGGCCACCCAGAAGAGTTTTTGGGATTCCTTGTAGATTTTCCATTCTTTTTTTTCGTACGCCGGGAACCGAGATATAACATTTGCGGACATGTTGAGAATAAGCAGAGAGGGTAATCAGGTATCAAGCAATGAATTATATGATTTTGCTGCATAAAAAAGAAGAAAAAGGGGTTAG